CAGAGCCGTGCATGGGAACTGGTGAGGGGATACGGCGTGAAATAGCAGGAGGTGCCTGATGGGGTGTGGACAGGGGAGCTTCAGCAGAGCAGGTTGAAACCGCATCCTGCTCTCCCCCTGGACACGCACAGCGGAGCTGCTGTGGGAGAATGGCAAATTCCTCTGCCCATGTCTCTGCCTGGGTAGCTGCGTGCTCTCTCCAGCTGGGGATCCCCGCTTTGAATGTGTCTTGTGGGACTAGCTCCTCCCAGCCAGCACAGCCACGCCAGGGCCCAGGCCAGACAGGTCAGCAAGCTCGCTCAGACAGGAGCAGCGCTCCAGGCAGCTCCCATCGGGGCACAGATCTAATCTCCCACCTTTGTCTGCGAGTCCAGAGCGCTCTGTGCATGAGGTGGGATCGGGGCCGCAGGAACATAAACAGATAAAGCCTGTCTATGAGTTCTGAGCGGCCGCGGGAGGCCACTGTCTGGTCCCAGTGGTATTTCCCTAGACTGGCTGCTTGGGGTAGGACTGGAGGGGAAGACTGACGCTGCCTGTGGAGCCCAGATAAGCCACTGTTTATCTTCCTCCTGATGCTGCCGACTGCATGGTTGGTCTAGCTGGCGTGTCAAGGAAGTGCAGGACAATAGGTGGGTAGTGGATGCCGCGTCATGGACCAGGACTGGGCCATGACCCTAACGCAAAGCTTCTCTGGAATCTGCCTTCACCTTGCCTGAGTTCACCCTTGAAAGTAAATCCATCTTCTCAGCTGTCACTCGGCACATAGCACGGCCGCGGCTGCATCTTCTGTGGGCTGGGAGCAGGAACTAGGGCTTTGACACGGAGGGGTCCTTGGAGCAGACGTGCCAGAAGAGAGTTTCCTGACATGCATGCATTGTGCCTGGCAGGGGCTGAGTCAGAGACATCTTCAGCACTTAAACTTTATTTTAAGTACATGTGTTGGCACACAGGCATGTATGGTTTGAGCCTGAAAGTTCCTGAAGGAAACCTTCCTGGGAAGAGCAGGTTGTAAAGTGATGCAGGGCAAATGGCCAAAGGCTGCAGACAAGACACTCTGGGCCTCTGCTACTTACAGCTTTGCCCAAGATCAGCAGGAAGTGTCCAAGTCCCTAATCCGTTTCCACTACCACCATCCGGGACTCTGCCAGCAATCGCAGGAGTGATCCATTCAGGAATATCAAGGCCAGAAGGGGCTGTTGTAATGAGAACATAACAATTGCCATCTTTGGGGTCAGACCACAGGTTCATCTACCCCAGTGTGCGTCTCGCAGTGGGTGTTGAAGTAGGGGAGGGTAAACAGGGCACATCCACAATTTTCCACCCCCTGCTCCTCTTCCACAGCAGCTTTCAGCATCCGGACTGATTCAGAGGCTGCACCCCTATCTCCCATGTACGGTAACCTCCTGGTGGACCTTTCCACTGTGAATTTGTCCAATCTCCTTTTGACGTGATCAAGGCTACCAGCATCTTGCAGTAGGTGAATTACACAGGGTGTAAAATGAACTGCCTCTCGTTAGTTGTGAACCTGCTGCCTAATTGGTTCACGTTATGTCCCGTAGCTCTAGCACTGAGAGAGACCGTAACAATAGACCCCTGTTGACTTTTGCGGCACCGTTCAGTAAGTTGGAAGCCTCTATTGTGGCCCGCTCAGCCACCTCTGATCTATACTGAAGAGACCCATTTAGTCTCTCCCAATGACTTGCAGGTAGCACAAGCCACTGATTTCCCCCAGTAGAGAGTGGAGCCACAGTGGGCACCAGTTACTTGAGAACCTGCCCAAGAGAGAGCTGGGAAAGGGTAGCAGCTCTTCCAAGCGCCCTTCACCCAGCCCAGGGCAGAGCCTCCTGGAGCAGCCAGTATCCCCCAGGCACCAGCCCAGGGAGGGACCCAGCTGGCCCCATGCTCCTGCACCCGCAGCATGGAGGGAGCCCCTCCTCTTGCACTTGCCCTTGCCCTGCAGCCTACCTTCATTCAGTGCCGCTGCCTCGCACGGGTAACTTTCCACTTGCTTCCCCTTAGCCGTCCATTTCCTGTCAATCACTGGAGCTGCAGATAACATCGTCCAGTCATCCCCCTCCAACGTCAGGGTGTCTGGACACTCCAGGCCCCACATCCGGCCCAGCCCCTCTGCCTCCAGACTCCTCGGCTTGGACGCACTTGTCTGGAGCCACTGGTGAGTCTCGGTCCCCAGAGAGCAGCCGTGGAAATCCTTTCAATTCCTGGCCATCTCCAAAGAAAACACTGCCCTGCAAGTGGCCAGGCCTGGGCCCTCCACCTCTGCTACCTACTTGCTGTTCTTCCTTCCTCTGGGCACCGGGCTGCCCTTGGGGTGGGCTCTGATTTCTCTCGTTCTGCCTGAGCAAATGCTCTGGTGCCACAGTCGGAGGCTCTCGGCAATTGTCTGCTGGCATCAGAAGCTTCTCGGTTCGGGCTGCCTGAGTGCCACGGGCTCTCAGTATTCAGTCAGAAGGTGCCATGAGCTAGGGGCGCTGGGCTGGCTGTGGTGGCTGGTCCTGCTGGGACCTGGAACTCAACATTTGCCCAGACCAGTAGCTGCTGAGGCCTGTGTGAAGTGACTTGTCTCATCCTGTGACCATGTTACCCTCATCCCTGGTCCCTTTCAAGCCAGACATCAGTGTTCCAGGGTTTGAGTGAAATGGAAGAGCTGGCTGTTATTTTTTCCTTCCACGTGTTGTGCACCGCACAGTCTCGTTAGGAACCTGGGGACTGAGAGAAACGTTCCAGGAGAGAAGGGTTAGTTCATCGGCTGCAATGTCATCATGGCAGAAACGAGCTCCTGGGTTGTTAAGAGCATGGCTTCTAGCCTTGGCTTCTGCTTCAGTCAAACTGGGGCTGAATGTTGCTGCACCCCGGCAGGCTGGGTTCTGGTCGCTTCCCACCCTGTGTAGCCGGTTCTTCCTTGTGGACTCTGATGGGCCCATCTCACAGCTGGGTCCGTAGCAGTCAGTAGCCCTGCTTGTGCAGGTGACCAAGGTCAGGCTCAGGCTTCCAGCCAGGATCCCACTCGCATTCCCACTTCAATTAAATACTGCTTGGTTTGTTTGAATCACCCATTGTTACTGGCACCTCAGTCCATACTGCCTCCGTGTCAGGATGATTTGAACAACAATTTTTGATCTTTCCGATTTCCGTGTTGCAGACCCGGGTGTGCGTGTGCATGTGCGTGTGTGTGGGGCGGGGGTGGGGGTGGAAGCAAACATCCTCTTGGGCTCAATTGTTTATAAAAGGTATAGCATGATTTTTGGCAGGAACTTGATTGCAGGAGGGACACAGGACTTTCCATACCAGATCACAGCTTCATTGAGCTCGGTCTCTTACTTCGGGCAGTGGCCAATATGTGATTCTTCAAGAGGAAGTTTAAAAAAAATCCGCAGAGCCCTTGGCCTGCTGTGTTACACTGTGGGTGTGTGGGTAGCACATATGTGCGTGTGCCTGTGCATGTGTGTACATGCCTATGTGTGTGTATATGTGAGCATGCCTGTGTGTATGTGCTTGGAGTTGGGGTTGCTGACCACTCTGGCAATTGGCAGGTCCCACCCTGGAGCCTGAGGTTCGTTCCCTGTCGCTGTTGTGATCTGTGCTCTTCCCTGTGTGATGGCACACCACGAGCCCCCAGTGGAAGGACTTTGTCCTTCAGGCCAGACTTGCGTGGCGGGCCTGTTTCAGCAGGAGTCAGTATTTCACCTTGTGAAGTGCTGGATGGGCTGTGACCAGGAAGGCAGCATGGCCTCAGACAGCCGTGCTCCAGTCCTAGCTTTGCTCTGAGACCTTGGTGCAGTCACTTCCCCTCCCTCCTGGTCTGCTGAGAGCAGGGAGCCTTTGGGGGCAGGAAGGCTCTCCCTCTGTGCGTGCTCAAGGCTTTGCATAGCAGGCCTCACATTTGACCGTGGCACTAGAATATAACATGCAGGAACAGGTTTGGTGACACGTGTGGCTCACCAGGTCTTTGGAGCGTCCTGTGTTACCCTGCAGGGACCCATTGTTCTGCAGGCTGCATCCCTTCCTCCAAAAGCTGACTTGCAGGGAGTAAGGTTGCCCTACATGTGGGTGCCCATTCAGGGAGCTATTCTTTCAGCCCAGCAGTGACAATCTGGCCCGAGGAAACCAGGGCTCAGTTCCCAGGGGTGACCAATGACTGAGACATTACAGCAGCCCAGGTGCAATGCAGAGATCAGCCTGCACTTGGAATTTCCGGACTCGCGATGCAGAGCCGGCATCTGAACAGTTTTGCTGTTGCTCTTCCCTGGAGCTGGGCTCTGGGCTCGGCTGGCCAGAGCCCAGAGATAACCGGTGGAGCTGCACCAGGAGTAGGGAGCGATCTGCCACCGCATGCTAGCGATCAGGTCTAGCGATGAAACACTTCCCAGACGGAGCACCCCTGACTGCAAAGGCACCACAGAGCCACAGAGAAAGGGTGGAGCAGGGCAGAAGCACTGGCCGTGGGCTTGGTTGCTGCTGCGCTCTGCTGAGGAAACATATTCCAGGGCCATGCTCATGCCCAGTCCATCTGTCCTTCCTGGCTTCCTTCCTTCCTGTGCTCACAGTGTCTTGAACAAGCACGTCAGGGCTGTGGTTTCTGTCAGAGCCAACTGTGCCAGAAGCGGGGGCTGCCCCTGCCCCCCACTCCTCCCTGCAGCTTCCAGTGCAAGGCAGATGTCTTTCCTTGGCTGCTTCTCACTCTCTGGGCTCAGGCACCTTGCTGGCTGCTGCTGCACCTCCTTCCTGCATCCCTCTCCTTTGAGCACCTTCTCCCTGCACTGAGTAGATAGTCGCCCAAGACTCTCTCGTGAGCTGCAGTTCTCTCACCTCCGTGCCCCAGAGACCTTTCCCTTGTCCAGCCCCTTGGTTCTCCTGCCCCTTGGCTGGTACCCACAGCCTTCCCGTCCTCCCTGCACTCTGTGCCCCCTGGGGCTTCCCTTATCACCATTCTCCTTCAGGATGGCAGCAAGGCGCCTGACTTTGAGCTGCTTCCTCTCTAGATCCAGTGAGTACTGGTGCCTGCACCCTACGGCCAATCGGCCTAAATTCGGATGTTCAAGTGTCTTACACAACAAGCAGGACTATCAGAGGATGCGTGAGCAACAGCACTGTGGGGAAAGACCGGGAAGTCCACGTCCTCAATGTGAAAAGCTTGACAAAGGTGAGTGATTGTGGGGCTGGGGACCAGGGTAGGAGAAGAAGCATGTCACCTCCTTGTCACCATCCAGCCTGGGCGCTGTCACTGGTCTGAAGCCTGCATCTCCCGGGACTGGATTACACCTGCCCAGGCACAGGGGGATGGAACGACCACCTTGTGAGGGATCCTTTATTTATGGCGGCCAGTCTGTTTCACAGCTGGGCTCTGTGCCACTGCGATGGAAACGGGGTGGGATCCCCAGGCGGGTGCTCTGCTGGCTGAGGGGATGCAGCTAAAAGGGGCTGGTGCAGATGGACCATGCTTTGCTCTTTGGAGAAGGTGCTTGCTTCAGCTGGCAGGTGAAGAAAGGGACAGCGTGTGGTTGTACCAGCAGGGACAGGATAGGGCAGCCATAGGCAGGGATACACATCGGCTCGGGGGTATCTCAGCTGACGTCAAGAAATGCTCAGGCTAACTGAAACAAGAAGGTGCTAATTCCATGGCCCACAAAGAAGCAGCCTCCATCCCTACTGGGGCAGCCTGTCCAGCCACCTCCCAAAACCCAGGGTCTGGATGCGTGTTACTAATGTCATGCTAAGAACATGCTCCAGACTGCTGTAGCGCTGAGGCCTGTTTTTGCCCAGGCTCTGCTGGGGAGGGCACCAGACAGCAGGGGCGGCATTATGGATCTATTATTATTTACAACCCCTGCCACCCACTCAGCCCCTTTGAGCTACATCCCCAAGCTGCTAGGGCAGGGTTGGCTCTGACCCGGGTGTCTTTACAGACCATCAGCTATCAGTTGGTAGCTAACCTGGTGCCTGACAGTGTTTAGCTACTGCCGGAGCCCTAGTCTGGCTTGAGTGGCTCAGCCTGGGGTGGGGGCTGTGCAGGGGAGATGGGTTCCCCACATTCACGCCTGCATCACCAGCTGGACGGACCTTCCTTCCTCTTGGTTTTCGGTGTGGTAGGAGTCCCCAGGACGCACTGCTGTGGTGCTGCTCTGTGTCATGCCCCTTTGATTCACTCCCTGCTGCTAAGGCACTAGAGCAGGCCTGCCTGGATTTTCCCAGCATGTACTTGCACAAGCACAGCTTGGTAGAGACGGGGAAACACGGTTGTGACGGCAGACACAGACCACGCTCTTCAGAACCAGAACAGGCGGCGACACACCTAGCAGGCTGGGACCAGGTGGACAGGGCTTCGCACATCTTTCTTTGGCTGTGCTCAGAGACAGGATGATCTTCTGACTCGATCATGGGTCTGTGTCAGAATGGCCCTTCCCGTGCTCTGCTTTTTAAAAACATGTTCACCAGAACTGGTCAAAACTAATGAATGGAGACCCGTACGCAGTCTCTAAAGGGGATGTCAGTGGTAACAAAAGGTGCCATCCTCATAACAGGCCCAGCCACAATCGTAGGAGCTTTGTAGCCTATGTGCCTTAGCCCTTCCCTTACCCCTGGCCCAGTCAGTCCTTGCTTCCTCTGCTGAGACATTTGACTTGGAAGGGAAATAATTGATGCTAACTATGCTCCGTGGGAGGGCTCGCAGTTCGTCTGAAGTGCTTGGCACATGTCTCTCATGGGCTGCAAATCCTCATGCATATATCTGCCAGCTTTGTTTTTATGGTATATGCAGGCAGTTAAAATGACATTTACAGGCACTTCAGAGGGCAAGAGTCTCGTAAAACGTGCTCTGCTTCCTGCACGTAAGAACAGCTCTGGATGTAGAGCAGCAAAGGGGGGGAGCAGGAAGTGGGTGTGTGTGTGTGTGTGTTTGATCTCCTGTCACCCTCATGTATGCAACTGTGATAGAAAACGCCACAGACTTGGCCACGTTTTAGCTTTCCAACCACGACCATTTCCCTCCAGCCCAAAGATCTGAGGAGCAGGTGGCATTTGGGCTTTCATTTGGCCTCGAGCATTTTTTAACAGCGTGGGTTTCACTACCCTGTTGGAGTCCTGTGAACTATTTTCCCTCCCACCCTTAATTGAAACCATGGTTTTGTTCTGCTTTCTGCCAAGAGGAGAGGGGCTAATTTTCAAAAGCCACATTTCTCTAACTCGGTGTAACCAAAGCTACATCAAGTCCGAAGAGGCTTTCTTGGAGTGAGGTCCCGCACAGAGTTTTCAGGGACAAAACAGATAAAATGCAGCAGGCACAATTCTAAAATTTAACAAACCAAACAGACCTAAAATCACCCTGTTGCACTGGTAACCCTGGGCCAGCTGTTTCCGAAGTGCCTTGTCACTTTTGGAACCAAGAGTTCTAGTTTTTTCTTGTCACTTTAGATGCTCCTTGTTTGGGTGTGGGCTTTGAGGTGCTTTAAAAGCACTTCTGGCATGATGTCCTGATCCTGCCTTCTGAAAAAAACAGCTCCCCTGGAGGTCTCTCAAGCCAGGCATTTAAAATCACAAGTCCCTTTTGGAACTAGAGTCCCAGACCCTTTGAATGGGTTCTACGTGGCGTATGCTTCCCATCCTTGCTTGGGATCCAGCAATAAAGGCCAGTGGATGCAGATGCGGCAGCCTATCTTGAGTGACATAATGCAGTAAATAGTTGGCTTGTCAGTGCTGTGTAGCAGCCACGACCACTCCCAAAGCTGGTGGAATTACATTGGGGTAAAACCAGCCGGAGCCTGAAGAATATGGCCCCCACCACTTCTGCAGAGAGCTCAGCTCCTGGTGAGACGTGATAAACACTTCTTGGGAGCTCTCAGCCATTGTGTTTGTCTTCGACCCAAGGGCCTGTGTCCCATGCCGGGCTGCTGGGGTCTAACCGTGGTCCCGCAGTCCCGAGCTCTGCGTGTCCATGTGATAAGGACCTTGGCGGGGATATCAATCAGGGCGATGGCATTTGTCAGTCTCACAATGCTGGGAATGTTTTATTGCAAGTCACAGCTGGGCTGGGGAAGCCTGGCTGCGAGACTCTTATCCCTGCCAGCCATGTTCCTCACTAGGGACTTGATTATAAGCAGCATGAAGTCAGTGAGAATGAGACAGATGGATCAGTGTGAAATGCTTGATTCTCAGAGGAGGATTTCCTGCTATATTTCATCTGAGCCATCCTCCATGTTGGGCCCTTTGAGTCGGACTGTCAGCTCCTCAGCACAGGGGCCCGTCGGAGAGGAGGTGAACAGCTCCTTATGGCTTTTTTCTGCTATAGCTCATTTGTAGAGACTGTCCTTTCCAAAAAGAGCCGAATGCAGCCATGTCCTGCTGACAAACAGGGATGGAAAGAATGTTCTTCCTGGTTAGTTATTCTCTTTTAATGTGTAACACGCAGGCAAGTGTTTATTGCCTTTTCCTGCCCTAGCTGCAGTAGCTAACTGATTGCTGCTGCCCCCATCTGCTGGATTCAAATCCATTAGCTCTGGAGCTAGAGGTCATTGGGTTCAGGGTGACAGAGGGTCACTGCAGAGGAAAGCATAACTTGCTACAGCAAACCACAGCGCCTAAGACTGCAGACACAGCTGATGCTGCCCAGTGATTCCACCCAGCTCCGCTTCCGATCACCAGCTTCTTTTTTTGTGTGGGTGGGGCTGGATGGCAAAGGCTGGAACTGAAAGCATGAGGTCACACCAGCGTGAGGACACTGAAACCGCTCCGGATTCAGAGGCCGAGAAGGATGGTTGTTTATAGACGTATGGAGTCGCCACTAGCAGCCTTCCTCTCTCCTTCCTCACACCCGTCTTTTCCTGAACTCCTCCCCGCAGCTGATTCTTTGCAGCAGCATCCATCCTTCAGACCGCTCGCCTTAGCATTAACAACAAAGTCAAAGAATCGTAGCAGAGCTCAGCTGGCAGGGCCTGCAGGAGGTCACATCTACCCCAGTCCCCTGCTCAAGACAGGACCATCCCTGTCTAAACCTTCCTAGACAAGCATTTCTCTAACCTGCTCTTGAAAACTTTGGGAACAACTAGCAGGCACAATGACCGAAACATCAAAAACAACCTTTAACTTGGGAAGAGCAAAGCCAGGGGAATAAGGCACCATCAATGTCCTGCCACTGCAAGGCTGGAAGTAGTTTGTTAAAATACACTCGAGAGACCACTTGCAATTTCCTCTACATGGGAAGGAACACTGCTTCCTTCTGAGTTGGCCAGGGGCTCGCCATGCTAAGCTCCCAAAATAAGCCCTGTATGTGTTCTTATCCCGGACCAAACTGTATTAACAGGAAGCCATAGCACAGGTTCCAGGAACAAAGCGCACCCCGGGTGGTTTGAGGAAAAAAGATCAAGAGAAACAGATGGCAAAGTCTCCATGTGCATGAGGGAGGCAGCCAGGCTGAAGGCACAAGGGCTGCCATCTCCGCATCCTGGCTGCTTTGGGAGCCCCAAGATGCAGTGAGCAGCCGCAGCACGACACATCCCAGGGCAGGGCGCAGGGCTCCTCTGCTTCCTCTGGAGTCCCATGTCTGCCGACTGGGCGGGATGTTTCTGTTGTCCATTGTGTGCAGCGGGAGGAAGGCTGCTGGGCTTCTCCCCTTCGCCAGGCTTTCATGGGCTGTGCCGCCCACTCAGGGACGCCAGAGCCAGAATCCTCCACTGGCGTCAGGCAGCCCAGAACCATTTAAGGCCAAAAAGTTGCATTGCTCAGCCCCAGCCTGGGCACTGGGAATCTGAGACCCCCTGGCCAAAGGGTCCAGAAGCACTTGGAGCTTGGGGCAGAGAAGGGGCTTGTGCTGTGGAGTGAGGAGGCTGCAGGCATGTCAGCTGCAAGGTTTTCATGTGGAGAAGCTCATGTCAAGGGGATAAGAGGGAGAGATGTCCAGGGCCCAGCCATGTGCAATCCAGAGGAGGTGCTTTATTGTGGGTGAAGGACACAGGCCAGCTGGAGCCTGGGCTGCCTACTCCAGACTACAAGGTGCAGTCATGGGAGGGGATAAGTGTCTATGCTTTGGATACTGAGCAGCCTCCAGATGGTCCAAGCCAACGTGACTACATCGGCAGTAATAGAGCAGCTGTCAGGGACTCTTTTCAGTCTGACAAGCTGGGTGTGTTAGCCCAGGCTCCCCAGGCCCAAGCCTGGTGATTGCAGACCAGGTCTGAGATCTCTGCCTGGCAGAGCTTTGGGCCACACAGACAAAGCCCAAGCAACTTGCCCACCTAGTCGACCCAGCCCCTTCTCCTAGGTGTCAGGTTGATGTCTGGCCCTGCAGACCAGCCTACTTCTACAGAGAAACCTGTGCCAGAACCTGGGACCCCAACGTGGAACAGTTTAACTCTGGAGCCACATCTGTCCCTGTCCCCTTGACATGCCAGGAACCAGGAACAGTACAGCTGGGGCCCTGGAAAGCAAGGTCTGTGCAGGCTCAGTCAAGGCTTCAGGAGGGGCCACGTGAACATGCTCTTCCGCACCATCTCCCTTAAGGCCGCTGCCAGGCACCTGACTGTGAAGGGAGGGCCAAGGCAGGAGCAGACAGCTGGGATCCCGCTACAGGTGGGAGCCAGGCCTTTGTCATGGCATGTAAATAAATAACCCAGACTCCAGCCCCCCGCATCTGTTTGTGCACAGAGGGGCTGATGTCACAGCCACGGCATTCAGACAGCTGGCACCGTGCCCCGACTGCGGGGCGGGGGAGCCCGAGTGACCAGGCTCCGCTTATAGAAGAATTACTGGAAACCAGTTTCTATAAGCAGATCCCCATGAAAAAGGCAACCCGGGGTAAAATAAAGCCTCCCGCCACTCCAGAGAAGAGGAACAATGGCCTCTGGAAAACACACAGCAGTAAAAATAGAAGCAAGCCCCTCCTCTTCGCGAGGCTGTAGGGCCCTGCCGGGGTCCCGGGGCCACCCACAGAGTAATGCTTACTGGATGCCTCGTGGCACCGCAGGGCCGGGTACAGCAGTGCATTATTATACACAGCTTGGCTGGGGGAGAGTTTTTGCTTGTTCCTTTCCAGTAGCTCCCGATAAGATCATCCTGGTACAGGCAGGGTGTGTGTGTACAATGTGCGGGAAACTCTGCCCTGAATCACCCAGCCGGGAGCCCAGGCACCATCAGCTCATCAGCATGGGGTCAGGGTGAGCTGACCTGTGGGGAAAGCCCAGGCCGCTGCAGGAAGCAGGGGCGATGCTTTCTGAGTCAGTGCTGGGCAGATGCCTTCAGGCGGTGCTGGGGCAAAGGCCTGTGCTCCTAGAGGTCTCCTTTGTCTGCCTGTGGCTGCTATTTCACCCAGGGTAATTTTCCACTCTGGACCTTGCAGCAGGGCTTGGGGTCCTGCAGTAAGGCTGTAGGATGGTGTCTCCACATGCAGGGCCTGAAATCTGGAGCAGAGTCCATATTGCCAGGCTTAAATCATCACTCAGGAGCCTGAATCCAGGTGTGGAGGATGCTCTCAGGGCAGCCAGGTCAGAAGCATCACCACTGAGCAGAGCGGTGTCTAAGGGGGCCAGGCCATGGGAGGGTAACACAACGGCAGGACAAGATTGCCACAGGGTCGTTCGTGCACATCTGGATGGGCACCGTCTAGTGTAGGGGTGGCTAACGTGTGGCTTGGAAGCTGCCTGTGGTGTGTGGTTGCCAAACAGGTTAATTTGGCTGGTATCATGGGCCTGAATAGAGGAAGCTGGACTCTGGGTGGGCCACAGCTCCAGGCAGAAATCAGGGTGCCTATGATCCACCACACCTGTGACTCTCGGGCTCCGGGCAAGCTGGTCATGTACCTGGTGGCCATGCTGCGGTTCTGGGGGAGAGGGGATTGGAGGAGAGGTTTGGGGACTGATGGATGGATGCTCCCAGCTCTTCTGCGTGAGGGAGCTCCTCGCCCCGTGGCCTGGGTCACGCTCCCTTCACCCAGGCACAGTCAGGGAGCAGGATTTGTGACTTTTCTCCCAGAGGGTAGAGTTGGCCTCTTCCCCAGCTTCAACAGAGAGGAGCCTTTGTCCACAGAGTGGCCGGCCAAAGGCCAAAGGCTCCTGGTCAAGTCTCTCTCTATTCAAGACTTTATTCAGCAGAGCCCAAATGCTCTGCACCTACCCCACTGCGGAGAGGAGAGGTTGTGCGTGTCTGGGGCATACAACTCTTCTTTCCAAGGGCAACACTTCCCCAACCTGCCATGCACAGCTGTGAGGACCCCCAGCTGAGGGTAGAAGTGGCACCTCTTGAAGTACAGGCAGCAGCAGGCACCTGCTGCCAGCCCCTCATTCAGCAGCTGGCCCTGGGTGTGAAGCCCCTGTATATGAGGACCCCAGATCCTGCTGTGTTTGCCTCTTGGTTTGTTCTTTTGCAATAAAAACCACACCTAAAATGTGCCCCGTGCATGTGATGCTGCCCCATGTGTTCCCGGGTGCAAGGAGTTTGAATGACGTCCTCCCATTCCCCCCCTCAGGATCCGTTCCTGCACCTGAGCGTGTCCCTGGAAAGAAAGGCCCCCGAGAGGAAGGTGGTGTTGGCGATCTACTCCAGCAAGTCTGGGGCCGTGTCTCTTCATTCCTGGCCTTTTAAGGAGTCCTCCAGACAGGTGAGAACTGCACCTCCCAGGGCTGCACCTGTGAGTGTGCCGGCAGCGCTGACGAGACCACCCCGACTTTCAGGGCAGGAGAGGGCAGAACCACAATGAAGCATGCTATACTACAGGGAGAGAGGAAAGGGGTGGGAAGAGAGGGGAGAGGAGCAGGGCTCCCATGTCCTGCTGTTTGTCTCGGTTGTCTTCTGTCTGCGAATGGGAAGCAGACACCTGGAGGCCCTGGGAGTGAGGCTGTGCCACAGCCCTGGCAGGGAGAGGTCTTGGCCAGCTGGCTGGTCTCCAGTGCTGCAGCTGGAAGAAATCTCCCATATTCCAAGCTGAAGGAAATGGCCCAACTGAGCAGCAAGGTCCTGCCCCCTCCTTGCAGTCCCCCTTCACCCCCTCTGGGGTATCCTTTGTGGTTGGAAGGGCTGCAAGCTCCCCAGGAGCAGTGAGTCCACTGGCCATGCCCACCGCAGGTACGAGGAGCAGCCTGGGCCGTGCCATGTGTGGCCGGTCCTGCTGCCCCCGGGTGCACAGTGGGGCCAGGGTGGCACAGCTGCCAGATTCACTTTGCAGCAGCCTCAGTGGTGGCAGCTCCTTCCTGCTGCCACCACTGTCAGCCCTGGCCCTGCTGCCCAGGCACTCCAGCCTGTCCTCCCTGCATCTGCTGCCAGGTGTGAGTGGGTAGGTAGACAGAGTCTCCATAGAAAGGAGAGTCATGCAGCAAGTGGGCAGACAGAGTCTCCATGCCCAGGACCTGTGTGGGAAGGGTGCACTTAGCCAGGTGGATGGGATAGGGCCATGGGTGAGCAGGGAGCTGCATCCAGGAGTGGAGGTGGGATGTGTGGGCAGAGCCAGGGCCAGGATGGTAGTGACAGCATGCAGCCAGGTCCCAGGCCCAGGGCAGTGCCATGATCCACTGCCTGCATGTCCCTGTGATGGGCGCTGGTTCTGCAGGCAGGGGCACGTGGAGAGTGAATCGTGGCTCTACCTCGGGCCCCAGCTCCGTGCTGTCACTGCTCCACAATCCCAGCCCCACCTGCCCATCCTGCTTCCAGATGCCGCTCCCTCCGCCCCCCAGCCTGCGGCCTCATCCTGTCCACCTGACTGAGTGCGCCCTGCCCACACAGGTCCCAAGCCTCTCTCCATGGAGATGCCAGGGCTGCGGCTGGGATCCCTGGACGGTGATAGCACAAGGGTCCTGATCTGTTCCCAGGTCTATTAAGCTGCCACTTAGGAAGTTTTGATGAGCTGCTACAGGGGAAGGCGGGGTGCTGCCCTGGCCTACAACAGCTCACCAAGCTCCCTAAGTGCTAGGTTACTTCATCCCAAATAACTGCCCCCCCTGCCTTAAGGTGTCTTTCTTGCAGTTGCTACCATGTGGCAGAGCTAGCCCTGGACTCCTGAGCTTAGGGCCCCATTGCAACGTACCTGCATGGAGCCCAACACACGCTGACCTGACGGGTGTCCGTGTGGGTTGTGAGATGAACTGCCAGCTCATCAGCCTGGGGCACCCAGACGCTCTCTTCCTTCGCCAAGAGGCTCAGGGGGTGCAGAGTGGTGTGGCAGAGCCAGGGAGATCTGCCCTTTCTGTCGCCACTTCTCTCCTGGGCTGCTGGACACCCGGCTGAGTATGGAGATGGGCAGCCGTGTGCCCAGCCTCTCAGCGCGGGGGCGAGCTGGGGTCCAGGCAAGCCTGTTAGCAAATGCTTACAGGCTCCCTGCTGCAGCCTGGGCCATGCCAGTAGCCGGCCCAGCATGGCTCTCCCCAGCTTGCAATGAGCTCCAGGGACCCTTCCCTGGCAGAGACAGGCATTGAGAGGGGGCGACCGCCCGGCTACAGAGACCCTCCCCTCCCTGGAGTAAACAATGCAGTTTTAGCTCTCTCCGGTGCCCACCCATGCCACGGGGAAGCCACTGCTGGGGGCTAGGCAGGTGCTGCTGCCCCCACGATGCCTGACACTCGTGCCACTGGCTGAGCAGACAGGACGTGTCTGGAGCGTCGGTGTCCAGTGGAGAACACCCCCTTCCTTCCCTGCCCCTTGGAGCGTGCCTGGCTTCCTGCCCCCCCCCCCACACACACACACACCTGGCCTGGGGGCTCATTGCTGTCCCTGAGCGCCCCCTCCTGTGGCTCCAGGGGCTGGCTGCTGTTTGCCTCTCCGCCCCCCTGCAGCCCGTCGGTGCGGGGAGTGACGCACAGGACTTGCAAAGGCTCCTGCTTCCTCTGCCTGTTGGAAGGTCAGGGATGGGGCTTGGCTCCAGCAGGCTCAGCCAGGGCTGCGAGCTTTGTTAGCAAAATAAGCCTCCTTCCTATCTGTGTCTAATAATAACATGGGCTGACAATGGGGGAGGCCGGGTGCAAGGCACTATTGGATGGAGTGCTGCCCCGGCAGCTCCGCTGCGCGCTGCCGGGGAAGCGAGCCATCAGCCTGGGTCTTGCTCACTGCTCTTGCCCTCGCTTGCTGGGAAAAGATGACCCGAGAAGCCAGGGGAGCAGAGAGGCCGGGCTCCAGCTCCTCTGAGCATTCGTGGAAAATCCCCAGGCCCCGCCAGCTGATGCAGGCTTCCTGGTAGGCCACCAAGCAGACCCCAAAGGCAGCCGGCACGGGTGGTCGCAGGCTGTGGGGCTGTGTCTGAGGGGAGAGGAAGAAACAACCATGCTGCAGGGCTCAGTTGTCCCCGAGAGGGGTGGGCAGGGCCAGCCGCGGCATGCAGCGCAGGGGGGTATCCAGCAGCACTGATTGGCACTGTCCTTGTTTCTGCTTGCTGGAATGCCCTGGGGGGATGAGGTGCAAAGCCCTTGCAGCCCCCAGGAGACCCTCATGGGACTGGGGGTCCCAGCCCAGCTAGAGACCCAATGAGGGTGTGACAAGGGACCCTGGTGCTGCCCAGGGAGCAGCCCCCTCCTTGCTGTTGTATCTCAGAGCCTGTGTGTCCCCACTCCCAGGACTCAAAACAAAATGGCATAGTCCGTGCCCAGGTGCTTATCTTTGAAGACGGTACCGAAGCAAGACAAGAAAATGCTCTTCTGTCCGACAACAGTGAAGAGCTCGTGAAATGGGCAGTTACCACCTATGGGGGCATTACATCCTACACCGAGCTGGAAAACCCCCGGCACATCCTCTTCCGTCTGGGCGAAGGTAGGTCCATGAGCCTCTCGCAAGCTTCTGGCTGGTCAGACTCACCCATGGGCCAGGCCGGGAGCTGGGCACGCTGCAGGGGAGCAGCAAGAAACCATCCTCCCTGGCCAGACGTCGTCTGGGACCGAGGGAGTTCAAAGCAGCCAGCCCTGGTTACACCCATGATGCCAGAAAACTCAGCTCTGGGCTTTGAGGCTAATCAAGACAGGGCTGACTTTCAGTTAGCTCTGCAGACTTCTTCTCAGCAGTGTCCCAACAGTGCCAGCAACCATCTCTGCAGTGTGATCTTCCTCACAAGCACTCAGAGGTGGCATGAGCCATGTCTTCTGTCTGCTGAGCCCAGCTGCACTGGGGAGGTGGGGGCTGCCATAGGCAGGATTCCCTGGCCCCTGGCCACACTTGTAGCTTGGAGCCCTTCTAGTTACAGCAGAGGAGGAGAGATGGGACACCTCAGTTCTCCTCTTCTGTACCCAGTTGCAGGGAGTCTTATATCATGTCTGTGGGACCAGGCCCCCCAGAAGGAGGAGGAGGAGAAGGAAGTCTACACAGCTCCACAAAGCTTCCCACACTAACACCAGTGATTCCTTTCTCTCCCTTCCAGATGCCAGCAGCCCCCCTGACTGCCATCCTCAAGCAGGCTTCAATGCCCGGCACTACCTAGAGGCCGAGCTCTTGTCCAGTGATGTTAAAACCTGCACCAGCAACGAGATGAAGGAGAAGGAGGCTCATATCCTGTGGGTGCGGGGGCCAGAGGACCCCAGGTAACCACTGGTGTGGTCTGGCGAGGAGGAGGCAAAGCTCCTCTGTCCAGTCTCCAGTGATGGGCATGTGTGTGTGTGAGTGATCAAGAGAGCCATGCATACAGCTCTGCAGTGTTCACCTGTGTCAGCGAAGCTGAGTTGCCCTGAGCTTAGCCAGGCAGTGGCAGATGTGAGCCAGTGGAAGAGGCCTGCCCTTGGTAGGAGGGTGCTTACAAGTCGGGGATGCCTCTTACAGCTAGTCCTGGAGATGCCCATGCCAGCGTCCAGGTGTGGCCTTTGATAGCTGCCTACAGGGAGGACCAAGGAAATGGGATATTAGATGCCACACACTAATAGCCCAGGAGGGTGCTTGGGCCCATGGTCACTGTGGTTCATTCTGGGGCTTGTTCCATAGCTCATGGGTCACGGAGGTGAACGTGGATGTGAGCTGCCAAAATGGAGAAGTGCCACAGAATCTGCAAAGGATGCTGATCCTCCAAAGCCAGCCCAACATGTCCTGGCTCCTCAGCCTACAGCAGGACATGCAGATTATGGTAAGGCAGTGATGGGCCCCCTCACACGTCTTTCATGGCTTTTCCTGCAAAGCGCTTCACCAGCTGGGCATGGGGGCTGCTAAGCTGGGACACAGCAGCCCCTGCATGTGGAAGGCAGGGGCCTTTCCAGAGCACCCAGAAATGCTGTGGAGGGGGAAGAGGAGCTCAGAGAGGCAGGATATGGCCACACTGGCATTTGGCTGGAGCTCTGGGTTTACCATCCCACTCTCCAAGAAGCAGCAGGGGACATGCACAAATTACCAGGAGCCTAGACCTCTCTGCTGGAGCTTGGTCGAAAGGTGCTCCTCTGAGGCCTGCTTTCCAAGCACCAGCCCTGCCTGATGCAGCCTAGTCTGTAAGTCCCAAAGGGACATGGTACAAGATGGCAGAGGCTTCTTCTGAGGGACAGATGCCTCTCACTGAGGCAGCAGGGGCCCTTTCTGTCGGAAGCCCAGCCCCCATTTTGCCAAAGCCTTTGGGCTCTGTTGGGAGCTGGTCCTGGCCACCCCACAACGCCTGGGTCCTCTCAGTCTCCGTCGCTAGGCTGGGAAAAGGCACCAGGAACACAGCCCTCTAATGCTGCTGCTGCTGCCCCTGGCCCTGGGGGGCTAGCCCAGCTCAGCATCTTCCCAGGTTGTTCCCATTAAGGAAATGGATTATATGAGTCTGGGATGTCTTTGCTACAGTCCTGTTTATGTAGTTTGCCCCCAGAGTCCTGCTGTCTTGCCCACAGCAGGAGCAAGGAGTGGAAGGTAATTCCCTTGCTCAGAGCTGCCAGGCCTGCTTTCCCGCCAGTCCCGTGCCCCCAACATTTCTCTTGGCTTCTACACATAGACTCGGGCAGCTCCAGCCATCCAGGCTTGAGCCCCTGCATGTGCGGTCTGTCCCTGAAACCTGCCCTCCATCCTCTCTGTGGTGGTTTTGCTTGGGCCTTCCCCTATGAGCTAAAGCCTTGGGTGTTTCTATTGTTTCCATTATCATTAAAAAAACAGGCGTTTAAATTGCTCTTTTGTTCAACATGAATGAAGGGTGGTTGTCTGCCCCTAGGCTCCAGCAAGGTCAGCAAGTGCCCATAGATCAAAGACAAGTTGGCAGTCACCAGCACCCTCCCACATAACAATAACTGTTGGCTCCATCTTCCTCCTTCCTTCTCTCCATCTTCTGTCTCTCCTAATCCCTCCTCTCTAATCTCTAAAATCCCAAATCTCCTAATCTCCTCCCTCAGGCATCTGGGAATTACACCCTCAAAGCCATTCCAATCAAAGTTGCTGGAAACAACCTTCCCAACACGGAGCAGGGCTTGATCAACAGGGTCCTGGAGATGAACTACAGCATCATAGCCTCGTACCTGGACATCCCTTCTGCTAGTAATGTGACCATTCGGATACAGAAATGTGGTGAGTCTGCAGAGATGCTCCTTTTTGCACTGTCCCTTAGCTTGGCTGTTGGCCAGACGACTGGCTTCCCAGCAAAGCCGCAAGATGGCTCAGGGCTGCAGAGTCTTTCACCCTGAAGCTCCTGGCTCAGCTGAAGTCACTGGCCTAGGTGAGTAGTGACTGAGACGTGTTACCATCTGCTGGCACCTGGGCAGCTCACAGGAAACATTCGATGCCAATAGTCCAAAGCCCAGTGGGGAAGTGTCCATGGCACAGAAGAATTAGTACGATGTGCTCCCCAGATTAGCAGTGTCGCTAGGTTGGTCCAGGATTGAGCAGGCCCTGAAGTGAAGAGTGCAGTCCCCTGCCTGCCTCCAAGTTGGCTCCCTGCAGCTCAGGGAGTGAGGCCTTTGGATGGCGCAGGGTAGAAGTTTATCCTATTGCTGCTTTCTTTGAGGATCAAGAGAATTTCACCAACTCTCAAGACAGTCCCCCCACTTCCTCCCCCAAGCTCTCAGAAACCCCACAGCACCACTGAGCCCAGCAGGATTGCTTCTGCGCACGTGTCCCACTGCCTACAATGGGAGTTTTGCCTGCCCGGGACCAGGCCTTTTGGGCATTTCTCCTGCCTCCTCAGGGCTGCTCTGGCCGTTGGGCTGGAATCACCCCAGTGGGTTCATCTTGCCAAATCCCTGCAGCCTCTGAGCCATCCAAGACACTGCTGCCCCCGTCTCTCCTTTCTCAGTGCTTCTCTGGTGTTTGATTTCTATAGCACCGAATGATGTGATCTCAACAACAACAGCAACTGGACAGAGTGTCAGCCTTGAATCAAAGATCCGCTCAGAGCTCAACCTGATGAAGCCATGGAAGTGTACGAATGACTCCATTGAGATAGCCATACCCAGCTATCTCATACCTGTGAGTGGCTGGGATGTGACTGAGGGCTTGGTGGTGAACTGTGGGCCTGAGGGAAGGGGGCAGCACGTTGCAGACCTGGGCCTTTGGGTTCTGTTGACTCTGCCATGCAGAGCCCTCTCAGACCATGGGACCCAGACACCAAGGGGCATTGGATTTGGTCCTGATTTTCCCCAATGGAGATGGGAGACACACTCCAACCAAGTTAGGGACAGCCAAGCTGGCCTGGGATTCTGCCTCTAACAGCTCATGAACACAGAGGTATCTTTTGTCCATAGGGTTTAAATCTGCCCATCAATGAAGTTACGCTGCAGGACTCCAGTTGCAAAGCTACAAACAACGGGTCCCAGTTTGTGCTGATGAGCCTTCTGGAGAAATGCTCCACTGTGGTGAAGGATGGGATCCACGTCACAGACGAGGTCAGTAGAACCTACCCGGGTGCTGCTGCTTGCAGTCTCACATCAGGGAACCTCCCCGCCGCCCCGTTCTCGGTGTAGGCCCCTAGACCCTCGGCCTCCTCCCGCACATGGATTCCTAGGCTTTAGCACTTGGTTGCAGTCCTGCCTGCCTCTCCCCGGTACATCATTTCCACTCCTGGTTCAGAAATCCCACATCACTTCGTGGAGCTGTCCGAACCCACTTTTGCCCTAGTGCACACAGTATGTGACCCAGTTCCACTCTGGGCATTCACGTTTCCTCTCTCTGGCTCTCCCTACTCCATATGGGTTCTCAGCACCATGTCAGCAACTGCACAAGCCTGATCTGGGAGGGCTGAGCACCCTTAACCCCCAGTGACTTCACAGGAAGTGGAGGACACCCAGCGCTTTGCACAGTCAGAACCCAGACTTTGTAGAAAAGCAGCCCGCTGCCCCTTGTGTAATGCAGAGGCGCGGGCAGCAGAGGCTACAAGTCTCAGCAGGCAGGGCTGCATCTGGAACCAAGTGGCTAAAAAGCACCTGTCTGCTGGACACCTAGCCCCCTCTACCTGAATTAAGTGCCACCACACCTGACACATGGCCCATGTCACTTCCTGGGAACATGGCGCTCAGAACGCCCTCTCCTGTATCAGGCCAAGGAGCCATCCACAGGACCCTCACGCTTCCCTTTCTCCTCTTGTCCCCAGCTGATCCTGACACTGGTTTCTCCTCCACAGAAAATTCAGGTAAGGCTGTGATTAGGGAGGTTTCTCTCTTTATTTCTTCTCTTCCCTAATTCCTCTCCCTGCTGCTGCAGAGACATCTCAGGGACCAAAAAGCTTTCTTAATCTCTCCTCCCCTGACAGGGTTTGTATGATAAAACCCACCCAGAGGCACAGGAAGGCTTTTGTGATTATAGAAATCACCGAGATGCAGTGGTAGTAATGTAGCAGAGCAGTTTGGGTCCTTAATTCTGAGGACCGTGGTGCTCAGCACAGATCCCCCCCAGACTGTAGGAACTGGCTGCACAGGGGTCAGTGGTCTGGAAAGGCTGGGAAACTTGTAACCGACTGCCACATCCCCCCAGCCAAGCCAGCTGTCAAGTTGGTGGTGCCAAGGGGCACACCAAGCTGCGGGACCTGGAGCAGGTAAAGCAGGGAACGTCTTGGACGTGCGCATCTCCCACAGGGAGTGACTGAATCATTGCCTCTGGGACCGTGGCTGGGACAGCACCTGGCAGCTGGGGCAAGAATCCAGGAGTCTGGGAGATCCCACCTCCCCTCCCTCCACCCCTTTGTGCATGCCTACATGCCAACTCCAGGAGTCAGGGTTCCCTTTGGGAGGCCCACGACCCATCACTGTGACTCCCCGGAGACTGGGTGAATCCAGCCCTGCTCCAGTCCGAGAGGTTGCCCTGTGGCTCATCCCTGTGCCTTTCCCCCACAGGTACCTTTTGTGTGCCAAATCCCTGTCCAGGACCGAGAGATGTCTCTGCAGCTCTTCCACAACCCAGAATTCACACCGCCTTCCACTACCGTGCTGGAAACCAACAAAGTGGCCTATGTCCAGGTACTGTGGTTTCTCATCCAGGGACTGCAGCCAGGCTGCTGCCTCGCTGGGCTGCCGTGGCTTTGTGGCGTTCAAACCGATACAGCAGCGGCTTTGCCTCAAAAGCTGGGTGGAAGTCCTCGTTGGGGTCTGACACTCCATTGCATTAGAGCTGCCCCGGCCCCTTGCCAGGGTGACAGTCTGTCAGAGACCCACGGCAGCTCTGGCCAGAGGGGCTACAACCCCTGTGTGCACCCTGGCACAGCAGGGCGAGGTGCAATGGCCGGACTGCGTGATGGTTGGGCCTGGCTGCAGCTCAGGACCCAGACTTTCCGGTAGGGGTGTGGAGGGGCCAATTCCAAAGAACAGGGCTGCAGATTAGGACTGAGCACCCCACCCCCGGCAGCTCCCTCTCCACTCCCACTGGCTTCTGGCTCCTTCAGGGATGAAGAGAATCACTGACCGACGGTGCAGGGCAAGCCCGAGGCGGGGTACCAAAGAGCTCAGAGCTAGGTCCCTGGTGACTCAGGCCCAGCCCGTAGGAGAGCTGACCCTGTCGTGGGCAGGGCTGCAGGGGTCATGCTCAGGGAAGCAGCCACCCAGGCCAGGTGCTGGAGGTGCCAGGTGGGAGCCCAGGTGGGAGCTGGCAGGTGGGGCATCCTCCCTGCTGGCACCTGTGCTGCTGCTCCCAAGCTAGGCTGGAGCAGGCCCATGGGCTGGATCCTTTGACTTTGCTCCCTCGTGGCTCAGGCGGCAGGAGGGAGCTGAGGCCCATGCTGACCCACCTCTGGCTCTGCAGGTGCAACTTTGGATGAAGGACAAGCCGGAGCTGGA